GAAAATGAGTGAGTCTAAATCCCAATATGATCAGTTTTTAGCAAGCCGCTAACCAGACTGAGAGTCAAAGATAAAAAATGAATTTTTTTGAGAGACCCACAAATTTGATAACACAAGCCTATCCGATGTTATCCTGACGCCAAATGACTTCGAACAGGCGATAAATGACATGCCCATGCACTCTGCCCCAGGGCCAGACTCATGGAACTCTGTGTTCATCAGAACTGCAAGAAGCCCCTATCACGAGCTTTTCCATCCTATGGAGAGGGAGCATGGACACGGGGGGTTTGTCCCACAGTTACTAAAAACAACAGACATAGCCCCACTCCACAAAGGGGGCAGTAAAGCAACAGCAAAGAAACTACAGACCAATAGCACTAAACCATCCCATATCATTAAAAATCTTTGAAAGGGTCCTAAGAAGCAAGTCACCGCATCTAGAAACCCATCAGTTTCACAACCAGGGCAACATGGGTTTAGAAACAGGTCGCTCCTGTCTGTCTCAACTATTGGACCACTACGACAAGGTCCTAAATGCACTAGAAGACAAAAGAATGCAGATGTAATATTTTACAGACTTTGCAAAAGCCTTCGACAAGTGTGACCATGCGTAATAGCGCACAAAATGCGTGCTAAAGGAATAACAGGAAAAGTCGGTCGAGGGGTCTATAATTTCCTCACTAACAGAACACAGAGAGTAGTCGTCAACAGAGTAAAGTCCGAGGCAGCTACGGTGAAAAGCTCTGTTCCACAAGGCACAGTACTCGCTCCCATTTTTGTTCCTCATCCTTGTATCCGACATAGACAAGGATGTCAGCCACAGCACCGTGTCTTCCTTTGCAGATGACACCCGAATCTGCATGACAGTGTCTTTTCCCTTGCAGACACTGCAAAGCTCCAGGCAGACATCAAACCCAAAACTTTCAGTGGGCTGCAAGAAAACAATATGAAGTTCAACGATGAGAAATTTCAATTACTCAGATATGGTAAACATGAGGAAATTAATCTTCATCAGAGTACAAAACAAAATTCTGGCCCCAAAATAGAGCGAAAACACCAACGTCAAAGACCTGGGAAGTGATCATGTCGGAGGATCTCACCTTCAAGGACCATAACATTGTATCAATTCGCATCTGCTAGAAAAATGACAGGATGGATAATGAAAAACCTTCAAAACTAGGGAGGCCAACCCCATGATGACACTCTTCAGGTCACTTGTTTCTATCTAGGCTGGAATATTGCTGCACACTAACAGCACCTTTCAAGGCAGGGAAATTGCCGACCTAGAAAAATGTACAGAGAACTTTCACGGCGCGGATAACGGAGATAAAACACCTCAATTATTGGGAGCGCTTGAGGTTCCTAAACCTGTATTCCCTGGAACGCAGGAGGGAGAGATACATGATTATATACACCTGGAAAATCCTAGAGGGACTAGTACCGAACTTGCACACGAAAATCACCCACTACGAAAGCAAAGACTTGGCAGACGATGCACCATCCCCCCAATGAAAAGCAGGGGTGTCACTAGCACGTTAAGAGACCATACAATAAGTGTCAGGGGCCCGAGACTGTTCAACTGCCTCCCAGCACACATAAGGGGGATTACCAACAGACCCCTGGCAGTCTTCAAGCTGGCACTGGACAAGCACCTAAAGTCAGTTCCGGATCAGCCGGGCTGTGGCTCGTATGTTGGTTTGCGTGCAGCCAGCAGCAACAGCCTGGTTGATCAGGCTCTGATCCACCAGGAGGCCTGGTCTCAGACCGGGCCGCGGGGGCGTTGACCCCCGGAACTCTCTCCAGGTAAACTCCAGGTAAACCTCCCTCTTCCCATCTACTAACTCCGCTACTCTGTTTTTAACTGACAAATCCATACTTTCCCTAGGCTTTCTTAACTTGTTTAACTCACTCCAAAATTTTTTCTTATTTTCATTAAAATTTCTTGACAATGCCTCTCCCACTCTTTCATCTGCTCTCCTTTTGCACTCTCTCACCACTCTCTTCACCTTTCTTTTACTCTCCATATACTCTGCTCTTCTTATAACACTTCTGCTTTGTAAAAACCTCTCGTAAGCTACCTTTTTCTCTTTTATCACACCCTTTACTTCATCATTCCACCAATCACTCCTCTTTCCTCCTGCCCCCACCCTCCTATAACCACAAACATTCTGCCCCACATTCCAATACTGCATTTTTAAAACTATTCCAACCCTCTTCAACCCCCCCCACTATATATTATATATATATATATATATATATATATATATATATATATAATATATATATATATATATATATATATATATTATTATATAATATATATATATATCCATGGGGAAGTGGAACATGAATTCTTCCTCCGTAAGCCATGCGTGTCGTAAGAGGCGACTAAAATGCCGGGAGCAAGGGGCTAGTAACCCCTTCTCCTGTATAAATTACTAAATTTAAAAAGAGAAACTTTCGTTTTCTTTTTGGGCCACCCTGCCTCGGTGGGAATACGGCCGGTTTGTTGAAAAAACAACAAAATATATTATATATATATATATATATATATATATATTTTATATATTATATATATATATATATAAATATATATATATATATATTATATATATCTTCTTTTAACACACCGGCTGTACCCCCCGAGGCGGGGTGGCCCCAAAAGGAAAAACGAAAGTTTCTCCTTTTGCATTTAGTAATATATACAGGAGAAGAGGTTACTAGCCCTTGCTCCTGGCATTTTAGTCGCCTCTTACAACACGCATGGCTTACGGAGGAAGAATTCTGTTCCACTTCCCCATGGAGATAAGAGGAAATAAACAAGAACAAGAACTAGAAAGAAAATAGAAGAAAACCCAAAGGGGTGTGTATATATATGCTTGTACATGTATGTGTATTATTATATAATCAAAGAAAGCGCTAGCCACAAGGGCTGCTGTAATGGTAGTGTGACAAGTGTAGAGAAGTAGCAAGACATACCTGAAATCTTGCATGTGTATGAGACAGAAAAAAAAAAGACACCAGCAATCCTACCATCGTGTAAAACAGTTACAGGCTTCAGTTTTACATTCACTTGGCAGGACGGTAGTACCTCCCTGGGCGGTTGCTGTCTACCAACCTACTACCTTTAACAAATTTATATATTTACCAGTATTCCTGGTGTATGTATATTTCATTTAATTAATAGGTCCAGAGCAACTTTTGGATATGACAGTGGTAGGTATCGAAGGGGGACATTTTTGTGACCTAGGTGTCCCAAATTCCTACTTGTCTAACTGATAAATATTAATTATCATTGTTATTTACTGTTATGTATATAATGATACATACAGATAAATGCAATTTTCCACAATTCCTAAACTCTCTAAATCTCTGTCATTACAGCCTCTCCTCACTTAACGACGGAGTTCCATTCCTAAGACCACGTCAGTAAATGAATGCGTCGCTGAGGAGTATACTATAATGGTAGTGGATTAGTGTCAACCATCTTTGATATTGTTTTAATGTCACCTCTCCACCATTTATAATATTTCTGGTGTATTTTTAAATGTTTATACAGTATTACCTGGAGTTTACCTGGAGAGAGTTTCGGGGGATCAAACCCCCGCGGTATGTGACAGGCCCTGGTGGATCAGCGCCTGATCAACCAGGCTGTTGCTGCTGGCTGCACGCAAACCAACGTACGAGCCACAGCCCGGCTGATCAGGAACTGACTTTAGGTGCTTGTCCAGTGCCAGCTTGAATTGACTGCCAGGGGTTGTTGGTAATCCCCTTATGTGTGCAAGGGAGATCATTGAAAGTCTCGGTCCCCTACCTTTTGTTATGGTCTCTTAACGTTGCTAGTGACACCCGCTTTTATTGGAGGATCTGTGGTGGCTGTCCAAGTCATAAGCTTTCGTAGTGAGTGATTTCGTGTGCAAGTTCGGTATAGTCCCATCTAGGTCTTCAGGTGTAATAACCTCTGACCTCTGGCCCTTCCATTTGAATACAGGTTTTAGTTGTACATGTACAGGTATTGTAATAAAAGAATTGGGAAAACCAAACTATCCATTATTTAGGTATGCATACGGTCAGAGCGTCATAGTCTGATCATCACTAAACGAGTAGTCACTAAGTGAGGAGGCTTGTACTTCTACAATCTCATCTCAGTTCCAATATCAAAATATAGATATTTATTGGTTATAACTATATATTTAATATAATATATATATATAATATTATATATATATTAATATATTTTATATATATATATATATTATATATATATATATATAATAATTATTAATAGTAATTATATGTGTTTTATTAGCCTATTGTTATATATTCATACCCATCTTCTAAGTGACAGTCACTTTGTACCCATCCTGTGGGTGGCAGTCACAGAGGTTACATAACGGGTCCAGGGGCTGGACTCTAACACTGTAAGCTAATCAGATTACTTCAATGTAATACACCTCTCAAGGGTAATGGAGTCACTTAATTTGGTCACATCTGTTGAAATAAGTCCTGGACATGTGGGGAATGAGACGTGTACAGTTCAGGATACTTGCTAAAAGAAACGTTTCGCCACAACTGGCTTCATCGATCCTAATTAGTCCTGATGAATTAGGACTGAACACGACTGGTGAAGCCACTGGTTTTAGTTGAGCGCCTAATTTATTGTGCCCCCTCATTCTCATTTCCTGAGCGGTAACACAATTATAGAGATCATAATGGGTCTTTGTCAGACCTCACTGGGCATAGTTACATCACCAAAATAAATGTATTACACTCATTTCATATCGTGGCGAAACGTTTCCTTTAATAAATACCTAGAAATGTTATTAAGGTCCATTTCCACAGTTTATCGGTGTCACCATACCATTTACAACTAAGTTGTGGCTGTGCGTGTATGGTGCTGCCTCTGAGCTGTATTAATATTCTTACATTTACTTGTGGAAGTTCTATTCTCCGTTCGCTGATTTCGAGACTTGACACTCTACTGTGTTTCCGTCATGTGGCAGCTATGAGCCGTTGCACCAGTGGAAGATTAATGTGCTGAGGGTCAACGACAGCTCTACGCAGGCGGCCCTTACCCTCCTGAGGGATCTCTTCGTCTGTCGCTTGCAGTGTCACCCCCAGCAGGTGGCTTACATGGCCAGCCAACACTGGTACCTCCGCTGGAACACCCGCCTCGCCTCTCTCTGCCACCAGCAGGAGAGGGAAAAGCAAGAAAGTCAGCAGGGATCGCAGAAGATGCAAGAAAACCAACAGGAAGATCAACAGAAACAAGGAAACAAACAGGAACAGCATAAGAGGTCAGGAAACCAACAGGAACAGCGGCGAAAGCCGGGAAACCAACAGGAACAGCAGAAGAAGCCAGGAAACCAACAGGGACAGCAACAGAAAGAAAAAAACCATCAGGGACAACCGAAGAAGCAAGTGAACCAGCAAAAACAGCAGCAGAAAGAAGAGCACTATCAGGAGCATCACCATGATCAAGGAAACCACCACCAGGATCAGCTCCAGAAGGAACTCAACCAGCAGCAGGAGCCAGAAACCCAACAGGAACTGCCGCAGCAAGAGTACCAGCAGGTAGAACTGGGGAATGCCTCCTGCTCCAATCCTGCCTTTGTCAGCCAAGTGTGTCGCAGCTCTAGCCTTCACGTGGTCAAGGTTAGTATATATACTCCATTTTTGCAACCCCTGAATGGGTCACAATGTATATAATGTATATTACCTGTTCATATAATTTTATATTGATTATATTTGCGATATTAGCTAAATCGTAAATATATTGCTTTATATTATTATTTGACTTAGTTATATTATTAGTTCGAGAGTGTTAAGTAGTTGACAGCATTGTCTAACTACTGTAATCATCGTTCCGTTCGTTTTGCTGCCAGCTTCTGTGTTGCTGGGCAGCAGCAGTCCACGGAGAGTCACGTGATCAGGGTGGGGTGATCACACCTCACCTGGAGGAGAGACTGCCTGGCCTGCGCTCACTCTTGTCTGTTTGACGTTGCTTCCAACAAGATGTGCCTCTCTAGCTCTCCATTGCTGGCCCTTGTTGGAAGATCGTCTCTGTCGCTTTCTCGTTGTTGGTCTGTGTAACTCTGTTCACAGAACATATTATTTTTATAATAATCAAGGGGAAGCGCTAAACCCGTAGGATTATACAGCGCCTGGGAGGGGGATGTGGAAGGCATTCAGGCTTAATTCGGGGAACTGGAGCACAAATCCAATTCCCTAAATCAAGAGCCCCTCACCAACATCAAGGAACCTTCCCTGAGGGGTCACAGAACATAGCCTAGACTTAGTGACTTTCGACGTTGTACTGAGGTTGTGTGTCACATAGACACTCTGAGAAACTCAGGTCCTGAGCTGTAGCTTCTGACCTAATTTGTACTTTTAGTCAGTCACTGGTTAAGTCTAGCCGAGTCTTGAGACATAGCGAACTACTTAGAGCACTTACACACATACACACAAACTTACTTATATATATTAGTATTATGTTATTAAATGCTAACAATGTACCAGACGGTACTTAAAAGCCATAAAGATGTGATATGTGCCTTCAGCACAATACTACTGTACACCAGAGAAGTGTAGCAACTTTTATCCTATATTATATTCAGTTGATTACTTTAATTTACTTTGATATTATACGCCTAGACAAATTTATTATTAATAAACTTATTAAATTTTAATTTCTTTAGTTAGTAGCCTATCAGTTGTAATCCTGAAGCACTAATGAATCTTGCTAAATTCTAATGGATAATTGGACCAGGATACTGACTATTTGTTACAAAAACCCAGTAACAGGCTGGATGCTAGAAGGGCAGTCCTTTCTAGTATTCACTGGAGATCTCCATCATTATTAGATATCGCGTTTTTTGTAACATCCATCAATAACTTTTACATAATGAACGACTAGCGAAATCGTAAGGAAACGACTGTAAACAATTTTCCCAATGGAGGGTTCGAATCAATGGCAAGTCAGTCCTATAACCGGGTTCAAACTCCTTTATTCGGCGAGTTGAACGATAGTGCTCGTGTAATCACACCATAAATATATTACTTCTACGTTTCCATCCTTATCACGTCTTCTGTATAAATATTTACTAAAACATCATTCACTAACAACATTAGTGACTATAAACAAATTACTGAAGAGTCTTGTTAAGTCACTCCGTATGATTTTTTTTGGGTTATCCCAGGTTCTCTACACATATGCTGCTATGTATGATAATCTATGTAACCGTATTCATGTATACCTGAATATTATTATTATTATAATCAAGGGGGAAGCGCTAAACCCGGAGGATTATACAGCGCCTGGGGGGGGGGATGTGGAAGGCATTCAGGCTTAATTCGGGGAACTGGAGCACAGATCCAATTCCCTAAATCAAGAGCCCCTCACCAACATCAAGGAACCTTCCTTGAGGGGTATACCTGAATAAACTTACTCCAGGACGGACCAGTCTGTAAAGCAGTTACGAGTTATTCCAGTTACTATATAGAGGATTTTATTCTACTATTTGAAGTATGACCGTGAACCAGTCACCTTTTTTGCTGTCTTTTTATAATTTTTTTCTCCTTATTGAGGCTATGTAAATAACTTTCACTTCAGAAATTCACTGCTCTGAGAAAGCATTCATGCCGTGAGATTAACTATATTGTATATTAGCGAACTGAGGATCAAGCCTGCATTACTCTGATCTAAGTAACCACGTGAATTTAACGCTTAATATAAATACAGTGTGACGTTGCAGGTGTTGCGTCTGGGGCTGGAGTGGGTGTTGCCGCTGCTGGAGGAGGCGTCGCTGGACTTGCAGGTGGTCTACCTAGTGCGTGACCCCAGAGCTGTCCTCAGGTATTCATGTATTGTTTAAGGTGTCACGACGGCCCGAGGGCCGTGTGAACCCTAATTATCAGGAGCCTATCAATATCCTTGACCAACCTATGCAACTAATTAATTATTAGTTATAATCGTAACAATATTTTTTAAAGGGGTGGACCGGTAAGCCAATGAAAAGCCTCGGTCAGATGGCCAAAAGCTCCAGCTGTGGGTCATCATATGACAAAAACCCTCGTCAAGAAACACTTGCCCTGTTTCCTGACAAACCTACCCTATGCAACTTCTCTTCAAAATCTCCCACAAAAACTGTCATTAGCAAAGAGCAACTGTGACAGCTCTCACTTTATACCAGATTCATTATCTTTTAGTCCCACATGTCTTCCCAACAACAGAGCCTGGCCTGGTGGCTAAAGCTCCCGCTTCACACACGGAGGGCCGGGTTCGATTCCCGGCGGGTGGAAACATTTCGACACGTTTCCTTACACCTGTTGTCCTGTTCACCTAGCAGCAAATAGGTACCTGGGTGTTAGTCGACTGGTGTGGGTCGCATCCTGGGGGACAAGATTAAGGACCCCAATGGAAATAAGTTAGACAGTCCTCGATGACGCACTGACTTTCTTGGGTTATCCTGGGTGGCTAACCCCCCGGGGTTAAAAATCCGAACGAAATCTTATCTTATCTTATCTTATATGTTAAAAAAAAAGTATGGTGACGTGACACACTCGTGCTGCGTGAATCACACTTTGGTGCTGTTGTTGGGTTCGAGGGCAAATACGACGGCCCGAGGTCCGTGTGGACTTTTATTCTATGATAGGTATGTCATGCATTGATGCTACTTTTATGTCATAAATATAACTGCGTGAACCTTGGTACTTTGATCAGTCATGCATTAATATTTAGTTGCAAAGCGCATCTGTCTGGCGCTCATCTACCTGGAGTTCATTACCTTTGCAACTTGCTCAACTATTAAAACTTTGGGGCCCAGTCCCTGGACCCATTATGTACCTCTGTACTAATCTTTTGACTACCGCCAACAGGATGGGTATGGGATGTATAATAAAGATACTAAATTAACTCTGGCGCTCAGCAGACGGAAGATCAAGCCACCACCACGTCTTGTACTGAGTGATCCATATGGATCATTCAGTACAAGGCTGAGTAAACCCCAGTCCTAAGCAACTTATTATTCATGTATTGTTATTGCTGGGTTGTAGAAGTCATGACAGCCCAAGAGCTGTATGAACCCAAGATGAAGGAAGGCTTTGAGGGAAGACCCTAACGGGAATAGCTACACTGTTTGGCTTTCCGATAAAGACCCATTGTGACCTCTGTAATCGTGGGTTTTGTGCTACCGCTCACAGGATGAGCATGAGGTGTACAATAAACTAGCCACTCAGGTAGGACAACTAGATGTTTGGATTTCTTGGGTTATTAACTCTCGGGGACTAATAATCCGAATTAAATCTTCAGAGGCCAACTCACCGAGAATGATAAATCATGATTAAGACACTGGAACAAACACTTTGGACAATTTGTTATACAAACGTTTCGGTCCTGGGCTCTTGTTCACTCCATAATAAAATGTTCTTGTGTCTTTAGCCAAAATCTGTTGGTATTATACACTAGGGTTTTCACCAGTGATAAGCCACATTCGTACTAAAAGTGTAAAACAACATTGTCTTAATGTTCGCATGGTACTCATAACATGTTACGTCTTCTTACCCCATCATATACGTCATGTATTTTCATGTATGGCCAGTTCCCGAGCGCGAGTATCGTGGTGTAGCGCCCGGTCCTGTCGTGATCCAGCCTACCTGTGCTCTCACCTCCACCAGGACCTCCTCCTCCTGCCTCACCTCCGTCAGTTGTACCCACACAGGTGAGAGACTAATTATTGCTCTCTAACCGTTGCAAAGTTATTACGAGTACCATCGTGAGGTTCAGTGGCCAATTTAGGCGTAAACTAAGCTACAGCCTCAGATGCTTGTATTCTGGGTTATTCAGCATTCTAATAAAGTATAATTATTATCATTACATTCAAATAACAAAAAGGCGCAATACCGTGACTGGAACAATACACAAATATCCCGCACATAGGGGAAAGGAGCTTACGACGATGTTTCGGTTCGACTTGGACCATTTACAAAGTCACACCTTGACTTGGACTATTTACAAAGTCACACAGTGTGACTTTGTAAATGGTTCAAGTCGGACAGAAACGTCGTCGTAAGCCCTTCTCTCCTGTGCGGGTTATTTGTGTTACAATCAAAACTAAGCGCTGAACCCACATGGATCATGCAGCTCAAGTAGCCTTCGCTACTCGTGTGGTTTATTCCTCACTAGGTCTCTCATTCGTGACAGGTTCAGGATGGTGTTATACGAGTCATTTCTGGAGGAGATTGAGACTTCCGTCACAGAGCTCTTCAGCTTCCTACGTCTGCCGGTGTCAGAGAAGCGGTTGCTGCTTCTCAGCATCTCCAGGCAGGGCTCCTCGCTCCAAGACTCAGCTCAAGACAATCTCAAATCAGGTCAAGACAACTTCAGGTCAGCTCAAGAAGCAAGTCATGCGAGGGGGACATACGGGACTACGAGGAACCTCAAGTACCAGGCTCGTCTGTGGCGCTTCAGAACACCCTTCAGGGAGGTGCTGAACTACCAGACTCACTGCCATGACGTCCTCAGGCTCCTTGGGCTGAGGATCTACACTTCGGCCAGGATATACTCCATGCACCGCCTCCATGTCCTCCTCCCATCCCCGCCCACACCTGAATTTGTACATGTGCCTCCCACCTACACCTAAACTGCACATATGCTTTCCACCCTTGGCAGATTTGAAAGCGTACATGTGTTTCTCACCCACGCCCACATTTGAACACGATCTTGGGTCTCCCACCCAGCAACATACCTGAGATCGCACATCTTCCATCCACTCCCATGTTAAAGAAGAGTCCCTTCCCACTGCCAACCCTGCCTGAATCAAGCCTCTATCGAGCTCAGTCTCGCCCAACCAATCACTCTATATATTCTCAATGTTTATGTACTGAGAGAAATAGTGTATTTTTACTTGGAGGGGTGTATATCTCAGTATGAGTTCACTTTAATCCTTACATTAGGGATTTAAGACATCTTTGACTATTAGTGTTCAGGTGACTTGCAGCCCTAACAACCACGCATGTACCATGGTCCTATATCCTCACTCTCTGCCCAAACAAATGTCTCGCTGAGTTCAATACATATATAATATTCGGGGGAAGCTCTAAACCCAGAAGGTTATACAGCATTCCTATGCTTAATACAACAACTAATGCTAAAAAACTATCGTGTGCCTTAACACTACCGCCCATACACAAGTGAGGTATAATAATAATAATAATAATATTATTATTATGTTATTATTACTACTATTATTATTATTATTATTATTATTATTATTATTATTATTATTATTATTATTTAGGCTTTTATTATTCTTGATCGTCAGTTCTTCCGAAAACTTCCCGAGCACTCACACACCAAACTATAAATGCAACCACAACGATGAAGAAGAAATACTAAGGTTTGTATTGAAATGTATGTGATGACCAAGTCTTTCAAGCACTTTCTTTTCATGTTTATACAGTTATAAGTGTATATAAATTTTATTGACCTGTATCAATAGATGATATCAAATACTACATACTAAGATGTTTGTCTGCTGTGCATCCTTGATGTTACTGAACCTTGCTGGTAGTGGGGTTGTTATTTATATTTTTTATACCTTTTTATCATAAAAAAGCTCAATATACGTGAAAAATAATAATAGTCACACGTTGCACCACTACATTAGAGTCTAACATAACAAGACCTGAGGGGACATGCAGATTCAAACCTTCAGGTCAAGGACATGAAAAAACGAAGTCTAAGGAATGGACCAGTGTCAGACGCCCCACCTCGCCTCTGAGAAAAATTCCCCCTCAACCTGTCTACTGTCAGTCTTGTAACACGGCATAGCTCCTGACGAAGTACGAAGTGTGAAAAGGCTTGAGCTGATGTTTTTCAAACCCCCGTGGCTTATTTTGCACATATAAGTAAAGAGTCACTCAACACTGTACACTATGTAAGTCAGGCCCATATTGGAGTATGTATACAGCACCAGTATGGAATCCACACCTGGTCAAGCATGTCAAGAAATTGGAGAAAGTGCAGAGGCTTGCAACAAGACTGGAGTTTATCTGGAGAGAGTTCCGGGGGTCAACGCCCCCGCGGCCCGGTCTGTGACCAGGCCTCATGGTGGATCAGAGCCTGATCAACCAGGCTGTTACTGCTGGCTGCACACAATCCAACGTACGAGCCACAGCCCGGCTGGTCACGTACCGACTTTAGGTGCTTGTCCAGTGCCTGCTTGAAGACAGCCAGGGGTCTATTGGTAATCCCCCTTATGCATGCTGGGAGGCAGTTGAACAGTCTCGGGCCCCCTGACACTTATTATATTGTCTCTTAAAGTGCTAGTGACACCCCTGCTTTTCATTGGGGGATGTTGCATCGTCTGCCGAGTCTTTTGCTTTCGTTGTGAGTGATTTTCGTATGCAAGTTCGGCACTAGTCCCTCTAGGATTTTCCAGGTGTATATAATCATGTATCTCTCCTGCCTGCGTTCCAGGGAGTACAGGTTCAGGAACTTCAAGCGCTCCCAGTAATTGAGGTGTTTTATCTCCGTTATGTGCGCCGTGAAGGTTCTCTGTACATTTTCTAGGTCAGCAATTTCAGGGTTATGTCCTGGAGTATACCTGGAGAGAGTTCCGGGGGTCAACGCCCCCGCGGCCCGGTCTGTGACCAGGGCCTGATCAACCAGGCTGTTACTGCTAGCCGCACGTAGTCCAACGTATGACCCACAGCCCGGCTGGTCAGGTACTGACTTCAGGTGCCTGTCCAGTGCCTGCTTGATGACAGCCAGGGGTCTAGTGGTAATCCCCTTTATGCATGCTGGGAGACAGTTGAACTCAACCTGACGACACTGGAGACAAGAGGGCTAGGGGGGATATGATAAATGTGGAAAATTGCATTTATCTGAATGTAACTCATTATATACATAACAGAAAATGATAACAAAGATAATTATTATTTATCAATGTTACATAGACAAGTAGGAATTTGGGACACCTAGGCCGCAAAAAATGTCCCCCTTCAATACCTACCACTGTCATAACCACAAGTTGCTCTGGACCTATTAATTAAATGAAATATACATACACCAGGAATACTGGTAAATATATAAATTTGTGGACTGTATATTAAAAATTAAAGAATAATTATAGATATACACAATTACATAACAGAAAGAAAATATATCTTAATATCACTCACCAATTTGAGTGGAGATTAATGTGTATCATACTCGGAAAACCTCACTCTAACTAAATTTATGAAAACACTGGCCAGAATTATACACAAATCTAGAGAGCTTATCTGAGGTTCCTGGAGCTGTCTTGTCCAGTCGTCTGATATCTCAAGTTATGCAGGAATGCACATCCACCAATTTCGCCTCCTATTTGAGAGGTGTCAGCCCAATTTTAACCTCTAGAGCACGAAAATTCCTTCCCATTACACTAACGTTATATCCAATTCAAAACCAAGATGGCGAGTCTCCTGCCCAGACGCAGGCTTTCCGTTTTCTATGATAAATATTATTAAATACAGTATAGGCCATCTATTTACCTATAAATTACCGTATTTCCGGAAAATATATACAGTATTTTCCACAATAACAGCATATAAAATACTGAAAGAAATTGACGGGATCAATAAGGACATTGTTTGAATGATGGGAAACAGGAACACAAAGGTACAGCTGGAAGCTGAAAACTCAGATAAGTCGGGAAATGTTAGGAAGCATTTCTTCAGCCTTAGAGTAGTCAGGAAGTGGAACAAACTGGAGAATAACGTGGTCGAGGAAGGATCCATACACAGCATTATGAAGAGGTACGACAAGGCTCTCGAAGTCAGGAGTGAATCTAGTAGGTACCAGCTAAAGGGTGAGACCAGCTGTGAATCGACCCTTGCAGCCACACATAGGTTAGTACAGTATGGCTTCAGGGATCAGCCATCTATCAAAGGTGACGGACAGATCACGCCAAAACTACTACTGTCTCCAGTTTATATTCACCTGTATTAGACTGAAAAAAACCTGTTGTGCAGTAACTGTATATCATTATTATTATTATAATCATGGGGGAGTGCTAAACCCGTAGGACTATACAGCGCATGTTGGAGGGGGATATGGAAGGTATTCAGGCTCAATTCAGGGAACCGGAGCACAGATCCAATTCCCTAGATCAAGAGCCCCTCACATACTGAAATCAGCATTCAGTATGTTGAATGCTTATTTCAAAATTACCCTCCAATTTTACAGTGGGCGGCGACCCTTAGCAACAGAGGAGACACGCCCACCTCTCAACATAATGCTTCTCAGACCACACTTGCAAAAATATAGAATTACAACCGAAATTTAAATCACATAATCTATAATTATGATCTATGATATAATTATAATATATATAATTATGAGTGAAGTTAACAGATGTTGTATTTAAAATTTTAAGGATATGTCCAGTGTAAGGAGTGAGAAACACTACAGAAGGGATACTTAATAGACTTTCCCTTCTTTCAACTAGAACTTAATTTTGGCCAAATTGACTGAATTCCTTAACCAGGTGTGAGGATGTCTCGCTCTACCCTTGCCTAGAGCATCAGTGACGAATTTTCCCTATTTTCTTCCTCGGGAGTCTGTCCTCTTCATCATAATGCCAAGGCATGATAGTGGCTCTCTTTGCACTGCAACTCATTTTTGTAATTACATAATCACAATGTAAACTTACAGGGAAATAAAAATTTGTATTAGTAAATTTGTATCTCTCTGGGCAATTGGTCGGGGCAACATAAATCAGTTCGTCATAAGGCAAGCCAAAGCCTACTGTTGTTGACTTTGATAGGAAGGTGTGGACAACTGTAATTGCCGAGATTTAAATAAGGGAATCCACCTGACGTAAATGGGACCTTATTGTTCTCGTTTCTCTTCCTTATTAGGAAACTTTGTTTCCTGTATAATTCCCGCCCATATTTGGGCACATTTTTCGTGGACTCCCGGGAAGCAGGGTTCAATACGACGTAAGTTTAGGCGGCCACTAACAACTCCAGCATGAACTATTTCCTGTCTTAAATTAGGAAGATTGCACACATAAGTATGTTTTCATTTAGGCTTTGGGTACATAACACACAATTTTTATACAGAGGTCTTTGAGGACACATTGATGTTATGGCCTCATAACATCATAATTCTCTACCATTAAGAGCTAAGTGTGAAAAGTCTTATAGCGCTAGCAACTTGAAGTGAGTTAGTTACCTTGGAAACCAATATATCGGATACTTATTTTAAAGGAAATATATAATTTTATATTGAAATGTTGATGGATAATGCTCGGTTATTGCTTATGTTATTAGGTTGAGTGAGTTATGTGATGTGTTAATGAGGGAAGTAAATTAGCAAGCTCTGATAACACTGGCATTAACAGTCATTCCCAATGGATTTTTTTATAAGTTATTACACCTGTCCTTGGAATGAACCTGATTACCTCTCATTTCCCAGGCATTGTATGACATCTGTGGATTTAACGCTTCTTAATACATAATTTCTCCAGCTGTTCCCTCAAGGAAGGCTTCTAGATGCCAGTTAGGGGTTCTTGATCCAAGGAATTGGACATGTACTTCCTTTCTTGGACTAAATCTGATAGCTCCCTATTCCCTCGGACACTGTATACCCCATGGGTTTAGCTCTTCTCAATAAATATAATAATACTAGTAATATAATCCTTCAGCTATCACTTCTACAGTAACTATATCAATAATAATGAGCTTTATCTAGGATTCCTATATACCATATGGTTTTATAGACTATTATACAGATGAAAGAGAACTAATTGCATACATTTAGATCATTAATATGGGTTCTCTTCTGTATGAATTCTGAGGTAGTTCATTAGACTTTTGTCAGAAAATACCTTAAACACCTTCCAAGCTGAACACCAGTATGGTTTCTCTCCTGTATGAGGTTTCAAATGTATTGTTACATATGACTTACTTGAAAAGGCCTTAAGAAACCATGAACATTGTTATGGTTTATCTAGTATGAATTCCAGAGTGAGAGGTTAGGATGTATTTTTCTAAAATGGATTTTAGACACTGAACATTTAATATGTTTTGTCTCTAGTATGAACTCTCAGGTGTTTTATTAGATTTGATTTTAATGTAAAGGCTTTTAGACACTGATCACTGATACAGCTTCTCTCAATAAGAACTCTGTAATGGGAGGTTAGATGTGATTCTTGAAAAGAGTTTTAGACACCCTGAACAGGCACCTAAAGTCAGTACCAGACCAGCCGGGCTATGGTCTGTATGTTGGTTTATGTGCAGCCAGCAGTAACAGCCTGGTTGATCAGCTCCTGGTCCACCATGAGGCCTGGTCACAGACCGGGCTGCAGAGGCGTTGACCCTGAAACTCTCTCCAGGTATCGATATGGTTTCTCTCCAGCATGAGCTCTCAGGAGTTTTATTACATTTGCCCTTGTGTCCTCTCATTCATACTGTCAGTATCAATATGCTTTGTATCACCATACTGTTAGTATGTGTTTATACGTGGGTTCCACTAAGTACATACATGTATAATAATTACAGGCATACATTGGTGGTTTTGTTTATTATGTACACCTAACCTAGAATTAATTTCCCAGAAAAATTAGTGTGCCTTACTTCCTTATTTTATAATACACAATTAGGTACACATTGTGTGGCTGCCCAGATCTGGATGAGTGTAAGTAGAGGTACAAAGTACATCCATCATGCTTGGTGTACTTTATACATTAAGTAAATATTTATTTCATAATGCAGGTTAATTATATGTACAGTAGAACTCCCATATCCACTGATTCAGCATCCGCAGTTTCAGTCATCCACTGTTTACTGCGGCCCAAAAATACCCCTTAGTTGTGCTATAATAATGGCCCCAAGAGCAAAAGTAGAAAAGTTGGCAGTTCTTCAAAGCCTAAGAGAAGCTGTGAAGTGCTTCACATCAGTGAAAAGGTGATAATTCTCCACTTATTGTGCATAATTTATCAATTAAACTTTATAATAGGTATGTATAGGACTTACATGTATAGGGTTTGCTACTATCCACGGTTTCGGTATCCATGGCAGGTCCTTGGAACGTATCCCTGCGGATATGGGGGTCCTACTGTACTGTACTGTAATTACCTCTGTAAATGATTCATCTTAATAGAGAATTAAACTAAATGATATTGCATGAAGCTCTAAACCATGTGGGTCATTCAGTGAGAGGAGCAATGGAGACTTGATTCTCCAGCAGCTAACTGCAGCCTTGGTTCTCTTGACTAGCCAGGCTTTCGGTAATAGTCATCAAGACAAAATTACGCTAAAGTTATGGAGTGAGGCTAATGTTTCATGAATAATTTTAATCATCTTGACATACTGCCAAGGGTATAGCCCTTTGATTATTAGTGTCTTAATTTATGTGGCTACTAACTATGAGGTTTTGATAACAGAATTTAAGCAAACTGTTATTCACTGAAGAAACTCGAGAAATACTTGGAATCTCTCAATTTACTATTACATATTATTATTATGTTATCATTATTACTGACTGAGCTACTGATTTATTGTGTATTTGCAGATCATACTTTGAGCTGCAGTGCAAGAAGGATTACATTTTCAAAAATTATTTGTCAACCTGTTCGTGTCTTCAGTAAACTTACACTGCTATTTTTGTCTCTTTTTCAGAGGATCAATATTGACCCTTGTAGAATGATGCCTATAACCAATCCCCATGTAAATAATTGTAGTAGATAAACTATCTAGTTGATGCAGAATGTGATTGCAAACTTGAGATTTGAAATATCATCTGATAAATTTCTATTTGCAGTAAACAGGAGGGCCTTGCTTTACAGATCTTCACCTTACAGCATTTCACTAATATAGTGGCTTTCAATTATACCCATTCTTCATTTATTCAGACTTCCTACAATAAATATATTCACTACTCACTGTAAGCTAAGGATGAAAATATTTTAAGGTAAGTAATGTGTGTACTGTATATGCATTTTTATACCTAGCTCTATTGCTTGCTTAATATATGGTATACTGTAAACATGTTATCAGGCTTTTATATGCATTTAAAAGCAAAAAAGGGCTATGTTTTGCTTTACAGCAATTTTTGCTTAACAGCAGTAGCCCAGAACCTAACCTGTCGTATAAGCGGGGCCTGCTTGTATTGATATAAAATATGCACATAGACTCATGATTTAAGATTTTTTATTTTTATCAATTAAGCAATTTGCCCTTTCCTACAAGGTTTGACCCTGCCTTTAAATGGTTGAATTATGGAACAGATTATGATATAAAAAGTTACTTTTTTGTGTTGTAGTAGTATAATGCTACATGTGAGAGTAAGGAGTGTGAAATGACAAACTTGTTGAATGTGAAATTTATGCCTCTAACTATTTGATATATTGTACTGTATTTCATTTCATAATTAATATTGCAATATTATTAAATTAACCTTGAAGAATAGTGAACTTGTTACAATGAATCCTATGTTCCAGATGTTTCATAATACAATGTATATTAATTTATACTAGAATATACTGTGTGTTTCCAGAATATCTGTATGACCCACACAGGCTTAGTGCTTTTATGGTAAATATAATACAGTACTGCCTACATTACATGTTTTATTGTTTTTCTTGTGATCTATTAAAACTAATAATTTGTACGTAGAAGAGAACCTTCATAACACATGTGGGCAGACAAATACGTAGTATAAACTATTGTTTTTATAAATGGTAAGATATCCTATGTTAAATCCAGTCATAAATTGTTACTTTTGTACAGTACAGTACTGTATGTTTTTAAGTTTTACCACATTGTTCATTCCCACTAAGGTAGGGTGACTCAAAGATGAAAACACATTCACCATCACTCGTTCCATATCTGTCTTGCCAGAATTATACAGCCATTGCAGTTCATGTAACCCTCTGTGCTGCTACATCCCCAGTTCTTCAGAGAGCAGGCACTGCATTTCAAACTTTCAAAACCCAAAGGCCAACTATGAGACAGAATTTAATATAAATTACCCATATGTACTATATGATAAGAATAATAAGGTTTATTGTTAGAGAAGAGGACCATGATCAGCCCTCCAAATTCATGGAGTTTCTAATTTCCAGAATTTAACAATCCAATGTTTTATCTGATGATCATCCTGCAACTAAATTCATTTATTTGCAGGTTTTTTCACAGTGCTCATTTTTGGGGGGCTGGATGGATGATCCTAAATTAAAAATTGACAAATAGATTTTGTTCCAAATTGCTTATTAGCTTACCCACATTCAAATCTATCTCTTTTTCTGATCATTCTCTCTTATGTAAACAATAACAAGGGAGATGTATAAAGAGATACAGCCTCTGAAACACAAAATAAACCTAAATCTTAAAACTGATGGCACAGACATAATTCTGTATTAGTCATATACAGTATTGTGGATTCAGTCTTATGGAACATAATCCCTTATATCTGGGGGGGAGAGCTAATATAAATGCATGACAGTGTATATGAGCTAGACACACTGTCTTGCATATGTCTTAGTAAGTATTATGCAGCTTTAACCTCACATTTGCATTTTTAATGCAAAATTCATAATAATTTCACCCAAAATATTGTACCTGAAGAAAAGGATTAGGAGAGAAGAAAATCCTTTAGCATGAGAGTACTACACATTAAGTCTATGAAATTAAAAATATAACCTAGCAAGAGTGAACTGCAGTGTCAGATATGAAATATTGAGGTTATACATGCAGAAGATACAAGTGAATAAATACACTTAGGACATATTTATTGGGAACATTCGGGTCCTGGGACCTTGCTTACTACAAATGGTACAAGGGAACAAAAAGTACTTAACTGCCATGTGGAAAGATTTCTCCCACGTTCTCTAACTTTGATCTTGCTACATACCCCACATGGTATGATACATTCTCTTGCTTCACTGTTAAGTATGTTGTGGGAATCATCCTCCCTGATGAGGTCTC